TTTGCTTTAATTTTGGAAGTGGGTGGGGTGTCAGCTTCACTCAGCTCCTCATCAGGTCTGAGCAATGCTGCTTTGCCCCTCTTTATTCCATCCATGGTGGCAGGGGGGTCCCCATCCAACAATCAAACACTACATCTGATTTGAGGCTCCTGAAAATAACATTAGTATTTGGGATCTCCTCCTCCTGCTCCTTCTCCTCCTTGAAGAACTTCTCCGCTGCCCTTGCCGAGCTGAAACTTACATTTTTCAAGGTCCACCTCATGCACAGTATCGCTGGACACGCCAGAGTATATTTAACCTGCAGCTTTTGTTTCACGGCAGTAAAAACCTTCCTCGTCAGGAAACATGGACAGCTGGTATCCTCACCACTCAAACCCATGCTCCTCTTTAGCTGCTACAAAAACTTTGTCTTTAGCTGACTGCCTCAGGAAACAAACAAGATCTGGCCTCGGAGCTCGGTTTGGGTCGTGGAGCGGCACGAAGGCCCGGTGGGCTTGTTCACTCTAACTCAACATCATAACTCATCCCAAGCCCCTCTACCAGCATCTTCCAAACACAACTCATGAGTGCCGACAGTCTCTTTCAGCCCAATAACTCACATTATTCCTCCATCTGTGGCTTTTGAGGAATGCAGTCCACATAACGTCCACCATCTTACTTCTCTCACCGTCTGCAGTGTGTAGGTGCTCCAAGGTGTCCTCCATGCGGGAGATACTGCCTCAGCCTCCATTAACCTCTCCTGCTTTACAGCCACTATTCAATTCAGACATTGTCTGCTTTATTGTAGACATCAATGTTTTGTAGTACATTACTCATTTTAGCAACTTGAGTAAACAAACTCACCGATTAGGAGGTGTTTCATCATGTTCCTCCCCATGTGGAGGCCTGCTGCAGGTGGACACATGGCCTGTACTGTAGAATGTTTCAAAGTGGCCATTGCGGGATTAAACAACCAATTTTTATTCAAATAAAAAAGACAGTGATCCTAGATCTTTGAAGGAGAATAGCATTAAGGAGAAGCCCCCCCCCCCCCCCCCCCAACACACACACACAAAATAACCAGCAAAATATATTGGAAAGCAGAGTTTCTAGCCAGCTGCCATCTTGTTTGCCATGTCCACGTGACTCTTGGTTATCTACATTTTAAAATGTCTACAGGGTACTGTTAGGTTTTGTAAAGTGTGCACACAAGATATGAAATCACTAACAATAAAAAAAAAAAACAGAAATAAGTCTGCTTGTTCATAACGCAAACCTGATTCAGACTCTCACAAAGCAAGAACGTTGTTGTGGAGGGTGCTGGGTTAGGGTTTTTTTTTTTGTGGCTGCAATCTGTCCTTCCTGTACACATTATTTTATTCTAACTGAACTGTTTGTTTTTTCTAATCACCTTCAGGACACCGAGGTTCTGTTGTTTGGTTTCCAGTCCATAGCCGAGACCATCGACGTGAACTACTCTGATGTTATTCCTGGTCTTGTTGGTTTGATCCCCAGAATCAACATCAGTAATGCAATGCTGGCTGACACGGTCATGTACACCATAGGTACCTACACCAACATATGAACTTCTTTCTGTATGTTTATTTGTAAAAAGAAGTTATCTTTATTTAAATGGAACTAACCAATCATTAAGGGGTGCTAAATACAACAGCGGCTAGAGCTGCCACCTCAAAAAAAAAAAAGTTTGCTGGTTCACAACCCAGCTGCGGCCTTTCTGTTAAAATGTATGTTCTCTCTGTACACATGTGGATTAATCGCCAGCTACTCCAGTTTCTTGCCATAGACCAAAAACACGTGCTAGGTTCAATGGTGATCCTAAATTGTCCCTAGGTGTGAGTGGTTGTTTGTCTCTGTGTGGCCGTATGATTGACTGACCTGTCCAAGGTGCGCCCCGCCTCTCACACAGTGACTGCTGGAGATAGGCATCAGCAACACCTACAACCTGGGAAGGAGAAGCGGGTAAAGAAAATGGATGGATAGACTATTCACTATTCTCCTGCAGCTTAAAAAAAGCATATACAACGGTTGTTAAATGGTTCTAGAAATGTTCCGTTGTCACAGCAACAGAGCATCCTTTGCATCCTTCATCTTTCTGCTGATCAGGGTCACTGGCTGAGTGGCTGGCTGACCACCCGGTGATGTTGGGAGGTATGCTACAGATGGTGCTGCGGGGTCTCACCAAAACGGAGCTGTCTGTGTCCAGTATCTCCACACTCAAGAGAATCTGCAGGGAGTGCAAGCACGACCTCGGCCCCTACGCTCAGGACATCATCACGGTCTCACAGGTCAAACCTCACACACTTTCAGGCAGGAGTTCAACAAATGATCTTTTATGTTGTTGTTAAAAATGATGAGATTCCTCTTTTTGTCAATATGTTTTTATTCAGGATGTGCTGGTGAAGGATGTTCATAAGGTGAAGGAGCAGCCGAACAACAGCTTCATTATTTCTTAAAATATGACTCCATTCAAGTGTGTGTGTGTGTGTGCGTGTGTGTGTGTGTGTGCAGAGCAGCCAGTGCATGTGGCTCATGCAGGCACTGGGTCTCCTGCTGTCTGCCCAGCCCACAGAGGAGATTTTAGGCAGTCTGCACTCCATCATCAGCCCTCACATCCATCAGCTGGACACTCAGGCTCAGGAGGAGGTGGGTTAAAAAAACACTCATCATAAAATGATAACTGTCAGTAAAGAATACTTTAGTATATAGCTTATAGAATATAGTAGTCCCTCGTTTATCGCGGGTGTTAGGTTCCAGTCCCCCACCCCGGCAATAAGTGAAAATCTGCGAAGTGACAATGTTTTAAACCCTTAAACCTACATAATTTTAACAACATACATATATGTGCTGTACACCACTGCAAAATTTTACTCACCAGCTCTGCAGGAGAACAGCAGCTTGGTTCCAGTCCAGCTCAGCAGACCTACCCTGCCAGTTCTGGTCAGCTCTGTGCAGCCCTTGAGCACCAAAATGCTTTTCGAGGGAGCCGGATCTTCGGATGGGCAGCATGGGACCAGCCAGTGGTTCAATTGAGTCCAAATCCGGATGAACAAAGTCCATATGGGCTCCGGAGAGAACGCTGAACCTCCGGGCGGCGCCTCCCCACTCGAAAGCCTTGTGGGCTGGCGGGCGTCACTCAGATTCACAGATGAATCTGAAGGTCTGGTTCTGGTCCGGTTCCCAGTTGGTTCTGGTCGGCTCTCTGCATCGGCTGGGCGTCAAAGTCACTGTATAAATAAAGACTGAACTTTTTCCAGTCAGATCAAAACTTTCCCTCTAGTATTTCAGCAGAAGGCAACAGTGCTTCTGGGCAGGACACTGTTGGCTTCTGGGAAATCAATCAACCTTTATTTATACAGGTAAATCCCATCCCAATCCCATCCCAGAAATGTAGTCGTTGTGAGTAGGAACAACAACAGCACATCTTCCTCCCTCATCCATTGTATGTATGCACATACATATGTATCTGTGGTCATAAGTAGCAGATTATGACCACCATTTAAAAACAAGTACTTTAATAATCTTGTATAATAGTTTAATTTATCCCCATATTTCTTATTGTAATTTAATTTGGGCTAGTACCTATCCTTGTTGTTTACAATCAATCCATAAACTTCAAAAATCTTTTGTAAGAATTGTCACGAACTCTCCACATTTAGCTCCATCCACACCTCTGTTTAAAAAAATTTACAAATTCTTACAATTTATGATGCAAATAGGTATCACACATTAATTCTGATGTAACCATTATCTTTACCTAAATATTTTCATAATTTTTTTTAGTTTAATTCTTATTATCATTCATACCGATCAACAGAGGATGCCATCTCCTCTGTGGTCCACACTGCGCTCAACCACCTGGAGCAGAAAAACTCTTACGTCCGTATGCTCTTTGTGATCTTCACATCTGTCTTCAACACCATGATCCCCCAAACCCTGATGGACAAACCATCTACACTAGGACTAAGCCCCTCCATTTGCAACTGGGTACTAGACTTCTTAACAAACAGACCACAGTCAGTGAGGATCCACAACTTCTCCTCCTCCACCATAACTCTCAGCAATGGCTCTCCTCAGGGATGTGTGTTGAGCCCCCTCCTGTTTACTCTGCTCACGTATGATTGTGCAACTACCCATCCAGGCTGTCACATTGTAAAGTTTGCAGATGATACAGTGGTGGTGGGATGCATCACAAACAATGATGAGTCCAGCTACAAGCAAGAGGTGGAACACCTGGAGAGCTGGTGCAAAGAGAATAACCTTCACATCAATGTGAAGAAGACAAAGGAGAGGATTGTGGACTTCAGAAGGAACAAAAGCATCTACACCCCCCTGAACATAAGAGGATCTGCAGTGGAAGTGGTCTCCAGCTACAAGTACTTGGGTGTGCACATGAATGACAACCTCAGCTGGAGCAACAACACCACCAGCCTGATCAAGAAAGCTCATCAGAGACTCTACGTCCTCAGACGGCTGAGGCGAGCTGGTCTGGGAAGCTCAGTCCTCACCTCCTTCTACAGGTGTGCACTGGAGAGCATCCTGTGCTCCAGCATCAACATGTGGCATGGAGGCTGCACAGCTGCAGAAAGAAAAGCTTTGCAGAGAGTAGTGAAGGCTGCACAGAAGTCTGTTGGAGTCGGTCTCCCCACCATCACAGACATCTACACCTTTAGATGCAGGAAGAGGGCCACCTGCATCATGAAGGACTCCACTCACCCAGCACACACTTTTTTTGCTCTGCTCCTGTCAGGAAGGAGGTTGAGGAGCATTAAGTGTAGAACTACTAGACTGAGGAACAGCTTCTACCCTGAGGTTGTTAGACTCATGAATCTCTAATCAGAATAATCACTGTGAAAAATCACATCATGTTGCTGCTGATCTGTTTCATGTTGCTGCTGATCTGTTTCATGTTGCTGCTGATCTGTTTCATGTTGCTGTGTTCATGCGTGCTCATCTGCTCACACAGACTCGAGTTCATGTGTGCTGATGTTCGACGTGATGTTAGTGCTTAGTGTATATTTATTTTATGTTTTCTTAGTTAATATCTTGAATGTTATCATTGTTTTTATTTTACATCTTATTGTTGGATGTAACTGGGACCCTGTGTACATAATTTCGCTCCACCACATGTACCACATGAGGTGCGAATGACAATAAAGAATCTCTGACCCTCTGACTCTGATACTCTACAAGAAGGAGGTATGATTTACATATCCCCTTCTGCAGAACCACTGCTGCTAAATGTTCATTCATGCATCAAGGTGTTGTGCTGTGGAACAGTTTAAAAACAACTAAGTGAATCATCTACAACTTTATCTGTATTTAAAAGAAAGGTGAAACAAAGTTGATACTTTTTTTTAACACAAGTTTTTTTTAATTATTTTAATATTTTTGGACAGTTTACATTTATTATACCATGCCATTTTATTTATAGAGCACTTAAACAGCGACAAGGCCAAACATAGTGCTGTACAGACAGAACAACAGGTAACACACAAAGCAATATACAAAACGAGGTAAATCAGAATATAGACATAAAATGATGCAGATAATGACGACAAACCAGTGTGGAGCGTACAATTATGAGCTATTATTTATTGTATTTTTGTGTGTTTGCATGCGTTTAAAGTAAGATGTAAGCTTACATACAAAGCCTTTATGATTTTTCTTTTTTTTTTTGAGAAGGGGGAGCAGGCCACTTTTAAGCCCATTAGGGATTTTTATGCCCTCTCCTACGCATTTATAAAAATTTTTTTAAATAATTTTCTTTGTGTGTTGTTTCATTTTTTGTGTGCAAACAATAAAATAGCAAACAACAAAGATGATAGATTCATGCTGATCACTGTTGGCTGACATAATGCAACCCCCCCAAGCTGTCACCACTTGTTCTCTGATCCTCTGTGATGGTACATGTGATATCACTAAAGTGTACTATGTCTTCCTGCTGCAGTGATTTTAATTTCAGGGCAGATCAGTGAAACTAAGTGCTGACCTGTCAGTCAGTTCAAGGTTTAGGTTTAGAGTAACAATCAACACGAATTGCTCCTAAAAATAACCTCTTGTCACTTTTGACTTATAATTACAGTAAAGCTTGTGCATCTTTATATATATATATATATATATATATGTATATATATATATATATATATTTTTTTTTGCAGCCCAACCCCAGTAGCAAACAGAGCATCATCCAAATCCTGGGGATGCTGTCCAGCCTTTTTAGCACTCTGGACTTGAGCGGTTGTGCAGGAGGCTCAGAGGAAGCGGCCAGTACCAGACTCACACCCCCACAGGATGCACAAAACCCAGTGAGTTCACAGAGAGATGATTATTCAAACACAAAAACACAAACCCCAGGTGTTTTTATTTGTGTTTTTAGGTTGTAGTTGTTCTGCGGGAGGTGTTCTCTTTAATTCAGACCATCCTCAGCAAATGGCTCCATGACTCAGAGGTGGTCGAGGTGAGACGTTCTTTTATTTTTGTGAGTTTGTGGATAGATGATGAATATTCAACTCATATTCTCTCATCTTCAGGCAGTGTGCGGCATGTTTGATAAATCGGTCAGAACTCTCCTGTATGATTTCGGCCCACTGGTGGCTCAGCTGTGTGAGATGTTAAGGTGGATCTACAGCAGCTTCCCACAAGCTTCTGTCCTGGACCTGACACGTCAGGTACATGACAGGCTTGGATCCAAAACCCTCGCTCCCTTCACCTCTTCTCTACTCAGACCCGTCCGTTTCATTTATCATTTTAGTTGGTTCATGTTTTTGCTGGAGAGGAACGTCACATCTTGGATATCAGAAACCTCCTTGAAGTCCTGACATCAACCACGTTTTCCATTTTTCAACAAGGTAAGAAAAAAGACACTGTCTTTATTTCAAACTGTGAAAGTTTATTGTTTCTGACATTCTTTAAAGTTTTTTTTTTTTTTAATCATTGGCTGCTTTACCTGCATTTATTCTATTAAATGACCATTTTTAGCTGATTCGATTTTAGCCAATGAACACTCACCTAAGACTCATTCAAGCACCTATAGCACTACATACACAATAAAGCAAACCAATTTATATTAAATTACATATAATCCAAGTAAATCACATTAAAAACAGTGTAACCAAAATTCCATTTCCTAAAAAGTTCTCAAATAAATCCTGCAGATTGCCTTAAATCTTTACTTTAGAGTAGTCCCTCATCCTGAAAAAGCACATGGCAACAATGGAGAGTTTAAAACAAGAAGAAACTTCCTGCAGAACCAGTACGAGCAGTCTTCCTGACCCCTACTGGCTGGGCTTTGAGAGAACAGAAAATATTGTGTCCTTGACTACAGTAGTGAGGGTGTTGCTCTGGTCTGTTGTTGTGAAGAAGAAGTAGAACCAAAAAGCAAAGCTCTTCATTTACTGGTCCATCTAAGCAAATCCTCCCCTGTAGTCATGTGGTATGGATCATCTCCTCACCCTTCTTTACATGACCCACAAGTTCCTGGACACAAGTGGCTGAAATAAGCTGCTTCCATACAACGATTGGGCTTAGCCACTGACAGGCCTTAGGGTGAGGAGCTACCTCATCTAGGGAGCACTTGGAGAAGAACTGCTGCTCTTTCACCTCCTCGTTGTTAAGGAGTCAACTGATGTGATTCAGGTGTTCGATTAGGACGCCTGCCCTGCATGTCTCATTATGAGACCCCAGAAGAACTCAGTGGAGCGATTAAATATTCTCTCTGGTCTAGAAACATCTTGGGATCCCCCAGGAGGAGCCAGACAGCATCACTGGAAACCTCTGAGACCTGACCTCAGAGAACCAGAAGAAAATTGATTGATGGATTATTTAATAGTTTCAGGTACTAGAAAAAAAATGAATGAAAGAAAAAGGCAAAGTTGGAAAAAAATCTTTGAAAACCTGTCCGAAAGCCTGAATAACTTCTTCAGTCTCCATCTTTACTGCTTGATCATAGTTGGGTCGTGGAGGCAACAGGTCCAGGAGGGAAACCCAGACGTCCCTCTCCCCAGTGACACATTTCAGCTCTGCCTTGGAGGATCCTGAGACATTCCCAGGCCAGAGAAGATACACAATTCCCTCCAGAGAGTTCTACATTTTCAAGGCCTCTTACCAGTGGGACGCACCTCCAAAGGGAGACATCCAGCAGGCAACGACTGATTCCACCATCCCTCATGAACAAGGTGCCCAGATGCTTAAACTCCTCCACCTGAGGCAACGACTCCACCCTGACTTTTGCTCAAGACCAATTTAAAAGATTATGAGACAGTCTATTCACTTGGAGGTACAATATAAAAATAAAGTAAAACATTTTGTAATGCTGACATGTATTTGCCAGGTCCGAGGGAACATCCTGATATTGCAGAATCATTTATGCATCTTCATGCAAAAGTAAGTTGAATACAAATTTTACTCTTTGCACACATCTCCATAAAAGAACCTCACTGCATAATTTGTCATCTTGACAGATTCTTAAAAGGAGTCCTGACTTGTACCAGTCTGACCAGTTAGATGTGGACACCCTGTTTTACTGTGGTGAGTATCAATCAGTACATGCTGATACAGTAAACATCCAGTTGTTCCCAACCCTGGTCCCTGAGGAACACCACCCTGCACGTTTTAGCTGTTTCCCTGCTTCAACACCTGATTCAGTGATTTAATTACTCCCTCAGGTTCTGCAGAAGCTTGTTAATCACCAGTTCATTCAAATCAGGTGCGTCAAAGCAGGGAAACAGCTAAAACATGCAGGATGGTGGTGTTCCTCAGGGACCAGGGTTGGGAACCACTGGATAGACAATGAAAATAAACAAGTACTTTTATATTTAGTGAACATGAAGACATTTCTAAAATATCAAAAACTGAATTGTAGTTTTTACAAAAGTCTAATACCAATTCATAGATATTCTGTTTTTCTTTTGAATTTTGATATTTTTACATGTGACTCATTAAACCAGGGGTGCCAAACCCATTTACAAAAGGGGGCCATAATTAAAACCTTTTTCAAACTAAGGGCCGGTTTCAGAATCTACATTAACTCAAGTTAGATACTCACCATCTTTTCTTGGTTGCAGGTTCCTCAACAAGAGTTTGATTGGTCTCATTTGACTTTCTCTGTTGCACTTTTTACATCATAATCAAAGATTACTGAAAAAATTAAAGTGATCAAAGTATTTTACATTTAAAATATCATCTTGGGGGCCAGATAAGATGTCAACAAGGGCCACATTTGGCCCCTGGCACATATGACAGATATGAATTAAACAAATCAACCGTTCTTATAACTTTTTATGCTTTTTTCCAGGGATCCTGTCCATCAAGTTTCTAGAGACCCCCACAGTGAAAGCTGCATGCCTCTTCTTTGTAAGTTATGAGAGAAAATGCAAGAGCTCATGTTACAGGGAGGTGTCAGTAGAGTTATTAGTCCTTTTAGACTTTAGAAGTTGTATAATCTAATAACTTTAGAGATACATTCTGTCATTTCCTGCCAGACAGAGTTCCTGTGTCACTGTAATGACACGGCCATTCTGGGTGATGTGCTGCAGAGGAACGGAAAGCTTCTGACCGAGGCTGTGCTCCAGGTAGTCCATATTTATATACAAGTGTCTGTGTATATTTGTCTGTGTCACAAAGCAGCACCTGATTGTCTTCTGATGGCTCTTTCCTTTTGCAGGCGATAGGAGGTGGTTCCTCCCGCAGCCTGACGGAGCACTTCTCTGACGTGCTGCTCAGTCTGAACAAACAGTGTCCGGCCTTACTGTCCGAGTGGATGAAAGAGACCCTGCAGAACCCAGGGTTCCCCTCAGCTCATGTGACCTCAGAGCAGAAACACACCTTCACCCAGAAGATCCTGAGGTAACACCACGTATTATGAACCCACCAGCTTTGAACTAAGACACACACATTGTTTGCAACTTTCCAGTACATGGAGCTAACGTAGACCAGTTAATCATAAAATATGACCAAGCTTTTAGTTTGATAAATGATCCTACTTGGTCAGCAACAAGTAGGTAACATCCACACATGGCAGGAGCTCTACTCACTGAAAAAGGATTAGCAACCAGAGGAATTATTTAAACTTAACTTGGTTCACATGCAGAGCAGTGATGGTGTGTGCACACGGTGTAATTTGCCAGGAGTGTAAGTATGTGCTCCAAGTGGTGGCATCATGAGTGAAGTATCATCAGAGGGTTGCCAGAGCATCTGAGGGTTTGTCAAAACAGTAACGGTGAACCAGACTGCCTCATAGACCCAGTAGACATTACCAGCACACAGCATCACTGCTTGTGTCCAAGCCTGATGAGGTGCAACACTCCAGCAGCGTGCCTGTACTGCCACCAGATCTACAACCAGTCCACACATGGAAAATGGTTCACAACCTCCATACAGTAGCATCTTTTTAACCTCTCCACGTCCTGCAGAAGACTACAGAACTTCTAATTCACACACGCTTAGTTATCAGACAAGCATGGCAGTGGGGGTAGTTTCTTGCTCAATCCCCCCCCCCACACACACACACCATTACAGGACAATGCTACCCACGAGACACGCCGCTCTTTATTGTAATCATCACAATATGGTCACATGTCCTTTCCACTATTCTGTCCTGGTGTTTATTGGTTTCTGTCAGTGTACACAGGCTCTGTGCAAAATTTAAAACAAATATTTTTTTAATTCAACTCCCAAGAAGCATGATGAAATGCTGTTTTTAAAGCTTTGAACAGTCATGCCCTCTGCTGGCTGGTCACATGAACACAGGAAGTTTATTCATTTCAAAGGAAATTCAAACGAGCAGAAGCTACTGACACAAGAACCAACACATAATATGACACAAGTACATAAAGATGAAATTGGTCATGTAGGTGAGAGGAAATAAAATCAACTAAACCATCGATCGTGTCACGACTTATCAACAAATGTGTATTTAAATACTGCACGATGGGAGAACCAGGTTAAGATCTTTGCATCCATTAACCCTGTTTTGTTCTTCCAGGCAACAAACGAACAAGCATCAAGTTAAAGAGAGCGTGAAGGAGTTCGCTCTGCTCTGCCGGGCCCTGCAGAGGTCCGGGTACTCGGAGTACTGAGCCGACGCTCAAGTGTTCAGCGCAGGGTTCTCGCGCATGTTCTGCTTGGAACGTCAAGATTTTTCCAAACCCACATTTTAATAAGAGCGGTTTGATTTTAATATTTGAGGAACAATTAGGTACTTTGCTCAAACATATTGAATCAAAAGTCTACAAAATGCAAATCAGTTTTTTCCATTTTTGAGTTTTGACTCAAGCCTCCACGTGCTAAAGGATTAAGTTATTTCACGTTCCTTGCTGATAAACATTAAAAACAAATGATTAAATGCTTATTAATAAAAAGGCACAACCCCAGTGATACAATTATTATGACCATGTTTTAAAGACAAAGTAAAAAATGAACACACTCTTTTTCCCACAACTTTTATAAATTTTTCTTTTTTTTTTTTTTACAAAACGCAATAGATAATGGCTTTTTTTTCCACATTTATTTAGACCTGGAGAATAATAAAATCAAATTCCACACTTCCCAGACTGCATAAAGGCCCAGGGTTAAATGTGAACGTGTCTGAGCTCGTTGTTCGACAGGACTGATCGCTGAAGATGAGACGCTGGAAAACCAGAACGCTCCGACTGAACCGAGTCAGAAATAAAAACACAGAGTGGACTATTTCGAGGTCGTCTGGCTCTGTCCAACATGTTTTTATTAAAATGTTTTAGTCTAAAACCAAGAAAACATGAGAAAAGTGTCACAGTGCCTTGAATGTACATTAAGTGACAAAACATCAATAAACAAATTTTGTTGCAGATGCATGAGCAGCTTTGATTTGTCTTTTCTGCTGCACAATGAACTCATGCGCACACACATAAATATAAAACCCCGCAGCCTTCATGTTGGCTTCATCCTGCTCCAAAGAAACCAGTCTCTAAAATGCCACGTCATACTTTAGACAGCTCCTGCACACGCAGACTAATACATAATGAATCACCTCGATCACTTCCACAACAGAAAAGAGAGCAAGACCAACGTTTGGAGTTGAAGTTTCATGACGTTTTTTGTTTTTAATTAGTGACATGTGGGTGAAAGATGGCAGTTATCGTCCGACGTTAGAGTTCCATCTTCTGCTGGTAAGAGGTTTTAAAAATGACCATCTCTGAGAAGGTTGGTGGTCTGATGGTGGCAGGTGGTGGGGTGTATACCGATAAGAACTGTTCAGAACTGACCCACCATGTTCCTCCTGGAGCAGTCCTGACCTTGGCTGTTCACTACCGGATTCTTGTGAAGAGGTTAAGAACCGATTTTGATTCCTGGTAGAAGAGACAAAAAAAAAAAAAAGTCAAATATATGTTTTATATACCCCGGCATATGAACACTGGATAAGAGAAGTCAAGTGCCATGCTCATCTGGAAAAGACTAGATATACTCTGAAAGGTTCTGCTGAGAGGTTTTGGGACACTTGGCAGCCATTTATATTGAGGGTATGTCAAAGCCTGTCTGATGTGTTCGTGTCTGTGTGGCTGATCTGTAGGGGTGGGATTTTGTTGTGGTTTTTATTGTGTTCTGAAAAGAAAAATCAATTAAAAAAACTGATTAAATATATATGTTTTATATCACAAACTACAGTCTGAAGTTTTAAAAGTGTTCTAAAAAACTACCATAAAGCATTTATTGTTATAAGGTTTACTACAAAAAGTTTGGCACAATATTATTGTCGCATCTTCGTCCAGATTTTCCCTCTTCAGGGGTCACCACAGCGAGTCATCTGGGAACATCAGCGAGTCATTTCCAAACCTCCACTGGTATGTCATCAGGTCTCACTGCCTTCCCCTTCTTCATTCTTGTCAGATCTTACTGAACTTTACCCTCACTAATCTTTCCCACTTCCTGGTCCACAGTTTCTATGACCTCTACTCTTTTTTTATGTTTCATTCTCTTCATTCATTAGCTCCTCAAAGTACTCCTTCCATCTTCCATCACACTCTCCTCACTTGTTAGAACATTACCATTCCTATTAACAAGCCTAACCTGCTGCACATCCTTTCCAGCCTGATCCCTGTCTCGCCCCTTGGTACAAATCCTTCTCGCCCTCTTTAGTGTCCAACCTCCCATACAACTCATCATACACCTTCTGCTTTGTCTTTGCTATCTCCCCCTTTGCTCCACATTGCATCTCCTTATATTCATGTCTCCTCTCTTCAGTCCTCTCACTGTCACATTTCTTCTTGGCTAAACGCTTTGAACAGCTTCCTGCACTTCACTATTCCACCACCAGGTTTCCTTATCATCCATTCTCTGTCCAGATGACACACCAAGTACCTTTCTACCTGTCTCTTTAATTACTGTAGTATTATTGTTGGATATGGATCTATTAATTGGAGAGTTCAGTCATGTTAAAGTGGGTTTCTGTGTAAAAGTTGTAAACAATATCTTACCTTTTTAAATAGCTCTTAAAGGACCTCAGTTCAGAAAGCTAGAAACTACATCCAACAAAACTGATGGGCTAACACTTTGTCCAAACATGGCCCAGGCCAAAAAGGATTAATGTTGTCTTTAGACTTTTCAATGTAATTTTCTTTATCGGTTCATACAAACATCATTTTATAAGTTTACATCACTGACATTTTATTGTAGTAAGAGGTAGTATTCTGATACACTGTACCACTGTGGTGATTTGAAAGTGTAAATAGCAACAGTTAAGAGACCAGACTGAGATGGTTTGGACATGTCCAGAGGAGGGACAGTGGGTATATTGGTAGAAGGATGTTAGAAATGCAGCTGCCAAGAAAAATACAAAGAGGAGATATATGGATGCAGTTAGAGAGGACATGGAGGTAGTTGGAGTGAGGACAGAGTGAGATGGAGGAGGATGACTCGCTGTGGAGACCCCTGAAGAGGGAAAAGCTGAAAGAAGACGAAGAAATAGCAACAGCTAGCTGCAACACTTCCAGATGAAAGATGAAATATTATATTTCTGTTCAAATGTGTAATTTGAAATCAACAACAAAGTTACGGTTTATTTAATTATATTTACATGAAATGCTAGGAAACGGCATCAATCCACTCTGGTGGCTTAGCTCATCAGTCCAGTCAGAACTAAACTCTATTTCTACAAACCGAGGTTGTTCCCAGAGCTATCTACAACAGATACTAAACATTATAACTTTTCCATAGAAACCCTCTTCAAAATACCTGAACAGTCCTTTTAAAACAAAAACACCACCATGCCTGTGTCCAGGAAATGCAGCGGAGAGACAGACAGGAATTTACTGTACCTTTGTGCAGCGCGTCTTACTGAAGATGCTCCAGAAACGTAGCGTCTCATCTCCAGCTCCAGTAACAATGGCCTCTCCATCTGGAGACACAGCCTGAGAAAGAATAAAATACAATTAGAATTTCTCAAAGGAATACAGATCCATACCTTGCATTTCAAAAGTTTGAAATAAACACAAGTATTTATCTTTTAGAGCTCAGAGTGATAGTGATGACTGTCAGCTACTACCACAAAAAAGTTGAGAATAATCTAGCTGTGGCAGCCATCTAGAATTGGGTCGACTACATGTTAATCAGTCGTACATGTCTATCCTTCTTCTTCTTCTTTCAGCTTTTCCCTCTGACCACAGTGAGTCATCCTCCTCCATCTCACTCTGTCCTCACTCCAACTACCTCCATGTCCTCTCTAACTGCATCCATATATCTCCTCTTTGTCTTTTTCCTGGCAGCTGCATTTCTAACATCCTTCTACCAATATACCCACTGTCCCTCCTCTGGACATGTCCAAACCATCTCAGTCTGGTCTCTCTAACTTCATCTCCCAGTTGTTCAACCTGTGCTGTACCTCTGATGATCTCATTCCTAATCTTATCCATCCTTGTCACTCCTAAGGAGAACCTCAACATCTTCATTTCTGCCACTTCCAGTTCTTTCTCCTGTCTTTTTGTCCATGTCTCTGTCTCCAGACCATACAATACAGCTGGTCTCACCACTGTCTTGTAAACTTTTCCTTTGACCTTTGCTGACACCCTTTTGTCACAAATCACTCCTGAAACTTCTCTCCATCCACTCCATCCTGCCTGGACTCTCTTTTTCACTCCTTTACCACATTCCCCATTTTCCTGGACAGTGGACCCCAAGTACTTGAAGTCCTGCACCTTTGTGACCTCTGCTCATTGCAGCCTCACTGTTCCTCCGGCCTCCGTCTCATTTACACACATGCACTCTGTCTTACTATGACCGACTTTCATTCCTCTTCTTTCAAGTGCATACCTCCACCTCTCCAAGTTATCTTCCACCTGTTCCTTGCTCTCACCACAGATCACAATGTCATCTGCAAACATCATAGTCCATGGGGATTCCTTCCTGACCTCATCTGCTAGTCGGTCCATCACCAGAGCAAACAAGAAGGGGCTCAGAGCTGATCCTTGATGCACTCCCACCTCCACCTTGAAGCTATCTGTCACTCCTACAGCACATCTCACCACAGTCCTGATGTCCTCATACATGTCCTGTACCAGTCTAACATACTTCTCTGCCACTCCATTATTCCTCATGCAATGCCACACCTCCTCTCTCGGCACTCTGTCATATGCTTTTTCTAAATCCACAAAGACACAATGGAGTTCTTTCTGACCCTCTCTGTACTTCTCCATCAGCATTCTCAAAGCAAAGATGGCATCTGTGGTGCTCTTTCTTGGCATGAAACCATACTGCTGCTCACCTCTCGTCTAAGTCTTGCTTCCACAACTCTCTCCCAGATCTTCATTGTGTGACTCATCAACTTAATTCCCCTGTAGTTGCTACAACTCTGTACATCACCCTTGTTCTTAAAAATGGGCACCAGCACACTTCTTCTCCATTCCTCAGGCATTTTCTCACCCTCAAATATGCCATTGAATATATGAGTCAAAAACCTCACTGCCATCTCTCCAAGACATTTCCAAACCTCCACTGGTATGTCATCAGGTCCTACTGCCTTCCACTTCTTCATTTTTTTCAGAGCTTTCCGAACTTCACCCTCACTAATCTTTCCCACTTCCTGGTCCATAGTTTCTATGACCTCTACTCTTCTTTCCCTTTCATTCTCTTCAGTCATTAGCTCCTCAAAGTACTCCTTCCATCTTCCCATCACACTCTGCTCACTTATAATAAATATGAATGTTGTGTACGGTGCCCTGAGACGACTTCTTGTGATTTGGCGCTGTATAAACAAACAGATTTGAATTGTTAGAACAGTTGTACATGTCTATGCAATGGTTATTTTTAAAATGACGATTAAAATCCACGCAGGGGCTCGTGAGATATTTTGTTAACAGGCAAACAAATGATTACACAGGCATGATGACTCACAGCCATGAAAGTAGGCAAACATTGATGATCTCTACAGTTACTTTATAATCTATGAGCTCAACAACCCCACACAGCTGTTGGACGTCCTCCTTCCTAATGGTCCAATGGTTGAATTCTTATTTTATCATCAAACGCAAGTATGAGAACAATAATATCCAGTGTTTTCACAGACTCTACTTTATTTATTAAATGAATGAACCTAACAGTTGATGCTGATAGCACCCACTTCCTTTTGATATTTACTGAAATAACACTTATTGCAGTTCTGAGTCCATTCAGTCTGAATAAAAGCTTTGAGAGGCAGCTTTACTCATTTCTTCAAACAGTTTCAGTTGCAGTGCTGAACTGTGTTGAGAGACGATGGAAACAGGTGAACTACGAACTATTCTTGTTTAAAAAAACACCACAGATGCTCCTTTTATACTCCGCGCAGATACTGTCACCCATCAGCACCTAGTTGCTCTTTGACTAAACTTCCAGAAGGTGTCACATGTCTCGCCTCTGTTTTTTGTTTGTGTTGGTGGAAGATTCATTTAGATTTGCCCACACGTGTCAAAAGTGAACATACCAGATACAAGACTCTGTAAGAATGTCCGGTCAACTTGGCCACTTGTGTTAACGACGGATACTTCCACACCAGGATCTGGTTCTGAGAGTAGCCATGGGTGCTCACCTGGAAACAGAACAAGCACGTTACAAAGAAAATGATACACCTTTTGGCTTCACGTGACACTTTCTATGCTCTAAAGCCAGATCAGAAATGACAAAAAGGACAGAAAATGTTCATTTGCGCTTCTTAAATCAGTGGTTCCACTGATTTTATTATGTTGAGTTTTCATCTGATTCTTCCTGTTTATAATTATAAAAGACACAGATCTGCTGCATTTAAATTAACAAGTGTGTTTAGCATCCGTCTGAATCTGTTCATTCATCCTACTATAAACAGTTAAGCTTAATGAAATGATCTTTATTAGAGGAAGGGAAATATCCAATTACAGCATTACACAGCAAAGGTAACGTGACAGATTTTTAAACCTCTTCTCAAATATATTTTTTTCCAATTGAAGTAAAATTTCCCTAAAACACTCGACTTTAGCGTTCTTGGAAAACAAAATTATTACTTTTATCCCAAACAGTCAATCATTCCAAATTATTAAGGTCTAAACACTTTTTAAAATTCAATTTAATTTATTTAGCACCAAATCACAGCAGAAGTTGTCTCAGGGCACTGAACAGGGACATTCACATACAAAAACCAGTTAGTAAAGTTCTCCATCTAAAGGAGGAGGCCAGCAGACTTCGTCAGTCTCCCATCCTGAGCAGGCCTCCCATCCTGAGCAGGCCTCCCATCCTGAGCAGGCACAAAGGCAACAGTGGGATGGAAAAACTCTCTTTTAACAGGATGAAACCTCCAGCAGAACCAGGCTCAGGATGAGCGGCCATTTGCTTCTACCAGCTGGGTAAATGCCAGTTTATTATTCTAATAATTTAGTAAAGAACAGCCTGGATGTCCCGCGTCGCTGAGGGGATTTGACCAGTTGGTACTTTTCCAGATGAGTGTATTTCTGGACTGGAACTGAACAGAGAATGAAAGTAAACCTTGATGTTTTGGTGTAAGATACTCAAGTGGGTAGGAGTTACACTGTAGAAGAATAGGAGTAGTATGTTTTCCTGTCCAAGCCAGCGCAGAGGGACGGGCCCAGGTGGGTGGAGGCAGCCATTTTATCCATCAGGTACAATGGTGAAGCCAAGGGGTGGGCACTGGGCAGTCACCCTCATTATTTAAAGGGAAAATATACCTTCAAGCAATATAAAAACTACAAAGCATGGCTTCCTCAATATGGTAAGTGGCCATCTTGGATTGTGACGTGGCCACCCATTTTTGATAGGGACTTTTCTTATGCCTAGATGCAGCCACACCAGCATGAAGTCCGTACCTAATTTATTTTTCAAGTAATCCAGCTCACAACATGACCTGATGGACAACAGAATTTCCAGTTGCCCTTTCTTGAGCCACGATGGGGGACAACAGAGACAGACACTACCAAGTCCCAATTAATTAGGAGTTGAGGACAGGTTGCTCCTAAAAATGATCAACTATTAAAACATGACTTTGCTTAACAAATGTTTTATTCTCTATATTCTTGTCATGATAACTTGAAGTTGTTTTCTGCCATGCGTGCTGCATCTTGTTCTCATTAATCATATTTTTCCCCGACATGTTCTCTTGTTTATGTTTGTCACCTGTGAAGACGTGTTGTATTTCAATTAAACGCCAAAAATACTTAGAAATCAACAAAATAATCTCTGAGAAGAAAGTGGACTTAGAAAATATAAAAAAGACACAGATGCTGGCAAATATAAAATAATAAAACAGGAAATTTAAAATAAAGTTTTTAGCTAAAAGTGTTTTGCTGAAGTGAGTTGTATGTTCAGATGGAAACATTTTGTGTGATTTTACCGCAGTGATGCTGCACGCTGTGGTTACTGTACTGCAGAAAGATTTTAGTGGTCAAACACAAACAAGTAGCTTTACGGCTCCATCCATGGGAGGGCATTTGAACGTCTCACCAGCTCGTTGGCGTGTTTGGACCAGGCCAGGTTGCAGACCTGAGAGCCGGTGTCCGTGCTCTGCAGCGCCTGACCCGTCAGGGTGTTCCAGAAACGCAGACAGCGGTCGGCGGTGCCGCCGCCTGACGCCAGCAGCCCATGCTGGTGAGGGGACCAGGCGATGGCCTTCACTGCTGCCAAGTGGTCACCGTACTGCTGCACTGGGACCAGGCTGGAGCTGTTCCACACCAACAGCTGCAGCGAAGGACAGAGAGGACGTCTGGTGTAAGAAAAACATGAAGCTTTTCGTCTTTCAGTTTGTTTTCGTGTCATTTTAGGACAACGTCGCCTCACCTTGTTGTCGTTGCCTCCAGAAGCAAGGTGCTGGTGGTCCGGAGACCATTTGAGACCGCACACTTCCTGCCTGTGACCTTGGAGCCTCCTCTCGGCAGAGGGGGGAGTTCTGACGTCCCGCTGCAGGATCACTCTGTCTCGACTGCCAGACGACAACTGCTCCCCATTCCACGCCAGGGCGCCTGGGCCACAAAGGATTCCACAGGGTTCTTACATTTCACTAAAAAGACCACCCACCATGTTTTATCTGCTGCCAACGAAAGGTGAAGGCGGCTGATAATGTCAGATGATGGTACTAAATAAACCATGAATTTTAATGAAACCTGCAGAAAACAATGATTGAATCGAGAACTGATTAGCCTAGAGCCAGCTAACTTTAGAAAGCACAAAAGTAGCAATAATTCAGTCAATTTTATAAATACTTTGAGTTAAAAGTAGGTGTAGCTGAGAGTCGTGCACAACACACCATTTCTGAGCAGTATCTCACGAGATCGTACATTATTTGTAAGGTTAAACCAAAACAGCTAAAAACTTAGTTATGTTGTGGTTTACAGCAGACTGCAGCAAAGGAAACCTTGTTGATTATTACCGTATTTTCTGCCGTACACGTCCTATAAGTCACATCAGTCCATATTTGTCTAATAAAGTGGAAAAATCCATTCTGCATCTATTATGCGTCACCGCTGACAAGCTGGAAATGTGGACTGGTGTTGTGAAAAAAAAAATCAAATGGCGGCTGTGGGAGCGTGCATGGGAGGACTTAACAAGAATTTAACAAGATTAACACTTAAAAACAATTATTTGTTTGCTCAACATTATAGTAAAGGTGTCTCAGTTGAACTTTCACTTAATAAATGCACTTTAATGGTCAAATCAGTTTCATTTCACCGGGGCGGAGCAGCAAAATGAAGCTGGTTTGACGGTTGCTCCAGGCGAGTTGGATGAAAGTAGCAATGAAAGTAGCAAACTATGGCAAGCCGATTGTGTCATTAATAACCACTTTTACCTATTACATGACACAATGGCTTGCCACAATACTCGACTGCCATCTAGTGGCTGAAAATGGTAGTGTTCAATATTTTCAGTCAGAATGAATGAAAACGGTCATATCTCAGCCAAAAATCAGTTTATAAATATGAGAAAAAAAATCCATAAATATGTTGCTTCAGTGTATAAGTCACAGGGCGTGCAAGTTATGCAAAAAAACCATGACGTATAGGCCAAAAAATACGATAGCTGAAAGTTGCTGATTGGCTCAGAGAAACGCTCACTTCAGGAGGACAGCGTTCAGATGCTCGCTGATCTGAAGCAGCAGAGAGCGACAGCTGAGCCTCAAGAGCAACTCTGAAAAATAATCATTTAACTTTCTCCAGCTACACAGGACTGACCTACTCTGGCTGAGTGTCCCTCCAGGCAGGTCAGCTTCCTCCCTCCTGCTGCATCCCAGATCTGAACGTAGCCCTTGTGGGTTCCAACGGCGACGAGACTGCCCTGATAAACCCAGAACAACCCGACAGTGATTCTGGTGCTACCGGTTTCCTCCTGCACTAAACTTAACCATTAAGAGGTTGACTGATGCGGCGACGTTACCCTCTCGTTCCAACAGACCGATGTAACGGAGTCTCCATCCACTGACAGATCACATAACCTCGTCACCTGGTGCAAGCACAGTTAAGAGTACATCAGATGATTTAGATCAGGAGTGACATCACACAGTAACGCTCTGCGTCTGACCTGGCTCGTGCAGGCACTCCACAGGTAGACGCACGCTCCCAGTCCGACGCTCAGCAAGTTCCCCGCCGACCAGTCCACCAGGTTGAGGTAGAAATCGTCCTGCAGCTCCGGAGCGTCCAGCACTTTGAAGGGGATCTTGGAAATCTTCCGAGCTGGTTTGCGCGGTGAGCGGAGCAGCTTTTGACTGCAGAAGAACCAAAAGAGCAAACTAAAAGCAGGAGGACAGAAAGGACGCGAGCGGAACAGCTCTGTCCACCCACACGGACACGTCCTACCTCTTGTTGCTGAGCGGAGAGAGCGAGAACGCAGACACTTCGTTATCGCCCTCAAAAGGCACTCTCTTAGTGTGGACCGTGTACTGCAGAGAACACGACACACACTGTTAGCTCTAACTCGAGAACAAACATTTTCTTGGTTGTTTTGACAAACATTAGATTTATAATCTCAGCGATGTCTGTATTTACTTTCCACAAGAGTCATGACAGACGAGGAGCGACGTCATCTCTGTACCTTAAAAACACCACGAGAGTCTTGAGCGAAGACTGCATGCTGCCGGTCGTCTGAGCACGGGTCCCCCACCGCCTCGATGCTCGCGCCCAGCAGCTCGTTCCTCAGCAGGGCAGCGTACGCCACGGCATCTGGAGACAGAGATCCAGCATCAGAACCGGGCCTGGACGACCAGAATCGCACCAACAGAAGGACGAGTGACTTCCAGACCTTTGCTCGAATCTGAACTGGCGTCTTTTGCTTTTTGGTTCTGAGCGGGGGAGCGACAGTTTTCCTGTAGAGAAAACAACATGAGATCCATGTGTTGTAGCCGGGGTGGGGGTGGTGTTACCGTCCTAATTACACATTTCCTTTATATAATTTTTAATACATTAAACAATATGTCTGGAATTATTTACCAGACTTCCTACCATCATATTTTACCCGCCTCTGCCTTTACAGGTCACGGGGGTCACTGGTGCCCATATCCAGCAGTCACTGTGCGAGAGGCGGGGGACACCTGGACAGGTCTCCAGTCCATCAGGGACAAACGAGACAAACATTCACTCTCTCACTCACACCTAGGGACAATTTAGAGTTACCAGTCAGCCTAACATGCATATTTTTGGTCTGTGGGAGGAAACTGGAGTACCTGGAGACAACCCACGCATGCACGGAGAGAACATGCAAACTCCACCCAGAAGGGCCCCGGGCTGGGCTTTGAACCAGCAACCTTCTCGCTGAGAGGCAACAGCTCTACCAACTGAGCCACAGTGCTGCTCCTCTTTTATTCACATGAAAAACTGGAATTTTAAAAAAAGTTTTACGGCAGAATTGAAACTCTTTTATTGACACCCCCCCCCCCCCCCCCCCACACACAAAAGCCTTAAAAACAACGTGTGCTGCTGATTATCCATGCTGCTGATCTCCTGCCTTTAAGCTGCTGTATTCATGCCCATCTGCTCACAACAGACTCATGTTCAGGCTGCTGTTGAACACATTGTATTATTTTACATTATTATTGTTTAGCGTATATCTTAGAACCTTGTATACAGTTTATTTTTGTATTTTATATTTTTGAATGTAACTGGGACCTTGAGTACACAATTTTGTTCCACCTCATGTACTACATGGGATGAATGATAATAAAAAACCTTGAAGTCAGGAGGGGGTTGAATTTCTACATTTCATATCAATAATAACACATTTTATTAAATATTTATCATATAAAACAATCTTGTATGACTGTTCATCTATTTTGTATCATTTCCATTGAAGTTTCTCCTCAAATGATTCAGACCTTTGAGCCAACCATCCTGTCTGTTAAGTTTTCTGCTCACTGAATCTTTACTGAATGTCTTTTAGAGCTTTTAATTCTTTTAGAGCTTTTAATTAGATGTTGTGACATGTCTGAGGGCTAACTAATGTTTGCATGTCCAAGCCGTCCTTTTCTTCTGAACTAACTCCAGGACACACTTTTAAAAGTAAGCACAGCGTTTACTACCAGATTAAAAGTAAATTAATAATAATTAAAAAAAAAAAACTGTTTTCAAAATGCATTTGTAGCAACAAATATCTGTTTACACCAAATAATTTGCATTGCAGCACCAAATCATAATAAATCAACAAAATACTTTTATGTATTAGGTTGTTCAAAACATTAAGCTAAGCTGTGTTTTATTGTTTAATTACTGTAGCGCTGATTTGTTCTCTGATCAGCGCAGAACGGTAGATTAATTTAAGAAACTACTAAATGATCTTAAACTATAGGAGAAACACATTCAGTTTAAAATGAACAGACTAACTCAGCATTAGGAGCTTGAACTTTTGAAATCATTTGCTCTCCATACCATTTAAAAACATGAGGCGTTACGGTTTTAAGTTGAGTTTCAACAGTTTGACTATTCTGAGGCTGACTGATAAAATCATGACTGCAGATCTGATTCATTATCAGTCTCCACCTGTAAGAAACAACTTCTGCGCAATGATTCGATTAGTGAAACGACTTTTGATTAACGCCCTGCGAGCTGGTGGACTGAATGTAATTTAACAGAAACAAAAGGCTGACAACGAATGAAGCAAGGACACTACTGACGAGGAGCGACGCCCTCCAGCTGAAGCTCAGGGATGGAGGAGAACTCTCCCTGGTGGCATCACCTGCACGGAGGAGATCATCAGATGACTCACGTTGCTGTAGTGGAAGTTGATGCTCCAGTTGCTTCCAGCTCGGGTGGGAATAAAGCGATCCCCTGACTTCACACCGACAGGACAGCAGGCTGCACCCAAACCCTGAAAGAGCCCGGTTCGTGTCTGATCAACATCTTTCTGTGGTGCTGGCATGTTGCTACAGCACAGGCTCACCTCCTTCTCTGCAGGCAGGTTCTGGTGGTTGATCTGCCTCAGCAGCCGCCTCTTGTAGTCCTGGTCCATCTCTTCACGACTAACGGACAGCAAGGCCCCTCTGCTGCCCACCTTCACGCCCCCTCCCTGTGAGGAAATCCGTACAACAGCCCCATCTGTTTAAAGAAAAACAAAACGTCAGAGGAGCGTGCACTTGTACCTCCGGTGGTTCGTTAGCCTCACAACTCCCTGGCTTTAACCCGTTCGTTCATTGTTCGCGTGAAGACGTGAAACGCTGAGGTGCAAACGACTCAACGCCACACGGGAAAGCCAAACGTTGTCATAGCATCACGCTCGCACACGCATAATGTGATTCATTAGCAGCTGAACGCGCGAGCACGACTCACCTGCGGACACGCACGGGCTCTCAGGTGTCCAACGAGCCTGCTGTCATCCTCGGTTTAACTGAGAATCTCCGCGACGAGAGACTGTATTAATGAAAACGGCGGTGGTTCACCCAGACGCCAACGCGAGCCGCTGGTGTTGTTTATGTTTCCGACAAAGATGGCGGCCGCGGAGTCAGCTGTAGCAGAAATTCTTCGCTTTTGGTTGACTTCTGCTGCCTGTCGAATCAGCGGCACGCGGCGCAACAGCGACGCCTAGCGGTTATTTTAGGTCACTGACGCTGCAGGTTGTCAGTGTGACCACTAGGGGCGCTGCAGCGCCGCAAAAATAATTTAAGACGGATTCAAAACAGTTTTGTTTTTTTTGGATGGCCTCCCTTCTCCCCTTACAGCCATCCTCTCCACACCATTATTATGAAATATTTATTCTAGTGATCATCTAGTGTAGTTTTTTTTTTTTTTTTAATAGGATAGAAAGAAAGAAAAGACAAAGTAAGACTCCAAAATATAAGAAATATACACAAAGAGAGCACACGGCAAATCACCCGGCCACTGTCTGTTCACCTGCAAAGAACATGACAAAACACAGCAACAAAATACATATGTATAAAGAACTTAAAATATTCATTGCTTTGCAGTAAGTTTCCATAAATATATATACCCATACCTACGCCCATATACATACATACATACACATGAATATACATTCATATACATATCTATATATCTACATATAAAGCCTACATAAGCATCCCTGCATCTATTTGTGTGTGGTTGTGAGCATGCATAAGTGTATAAGGCTTCTCTAGTAGAACATTTAATAGTAACCGTGAATTTAAAACATTTTTCCAAAGTTTTTTTTTTAATTTATTTAACAGTTTACAATACCAAACATAAAAAAAAAATTTGCAATTGCTGGTTTATAGCATAATAGAGAGAAAACAAACATAAAATGGGCATTAACTAAAAAAAAAAAAAGAAATGTACCAGCTTTTCCATTACAAAATTGAACGATTTTGTTTAGGACTTTAGCTCTTTCTTCCAGTGGTTCATATTAGGTTTACTATAAATTTTGAAGAAGCAGCATTTATGTACATAATGTTTAACTAATATAATCAAATTATTGATACCATATTCAATACTCTCAATCTTATTAAATACTGCACCCCAAATTTCATTTCTTTTGAAGTAAGAGCAGGTAGTTGAATCCCTTTGAGTTGGGTCCACAACTGAAAGTCAAGCCAAAACCTCTGAACTATCATGCAATCAACAACAACAACAGCAAAAAAGATTTTCCTCTCACAGAAACCACAGTTCCCCGTGTCTATTTTAAATTTTGTCCTTAGAAATTCGTTAGCAGGATACATTTTATTTATGATTTTAAATTGAATTTCTTTTGCTTTAGGAGGGCCCGGAACTGACATAAAACTAATTCTGATCTTTTTTAATGTCTTCTTTTCTCAAGTCCTTGAGAATATGGTCCCTCCTAATTGGATTAGGAGAACAGTAATGAAGTGAATGACTTCTCATGAGATATTTTGCTAATGGACAGGGCTAACGTCAACAGTTAATAAAGTTTTACATAAATATTACTAATGCTCGAAGTGCACGCAACATGTTGCACTGGAAATATGTGTTGGGAATGATGCACAGCCACTTTTATCTTAATACTTGTAAAACGGGCTGAGTTATATTCATGTTTATGTTGGTGAATGTCACTTAGCTGTTGTGGCCATCTTAAACCGTGTCGACTCTAAAACTAATGAGCTGTAGTTTGTAAATATTCCATGTTTGCTTTTATAAAAGTTTCATTAAAGTCCATTCAGTGATTTGTGAGATTTTTTGCTAAAAGTGTCCTGAAGAAAATCAGAATGATGGTATTAAGAGTATGCATCATTTATATCATATGAAACATCAGTTTTAAAACCAAACTTATTTGTCAGCCCTAGTCAAAGGCAAAGGACTGGTAATGTTTATGTTTGTAATGTTGAAAAATATCTCATAAATCACTGAATGAATTTTAACAAAGCTTTCAAAGATTAATGACTGGTTAACATTTCCAACTAATCAACATGGCCTGCAGCAGCTTGGTGGTCAGTGTTGTGCTCTTCGTGTTCTGAGGTTGTGGGTTCAATCCCAGGTTGTGACAGGAAGGGCATCTGGTGTTAAACATATTTCCAAATCTTTCATGTGAGTTCACTCGCTGTGGTGGCCCCTGAAGAACGGAGCAGCTGAAAGAAACGTTTAGTAATCTATATTCAAGACGGCTGCTAGAGCTTCTTTAACATTAGTCAACACAAAACTGCCTATACTGTATTTAATTTTACATATATTGAGTTAAAAGTCAGTATGGTAGTAGCTGAGAGTCATTCACAACACATTTCAAGCACCAGCAGGTCATGTGAGGTCATATGTGCATAATGTTGTTAAATTGGACTGAGAGTTAGTCTGAATGGAGTGAATGGAAGTGGGCCACATACATTCCCTTAAATAAATTATTTGTTACGTGCACTAAAAAAATAAAAAAAGCCTAGATTGTGTCAAACAGATGTATTTTATAAACCAAGTCAGAATAGAAAATCATTTAAAAAATATACATATTTTCCAAGATGGACAAGAATGCCTTTTCTTTATGTGTTTTTTTTAAAACCAGCCACAGACTGCGTTGTGCACATGTGTCAGTCAGAACAGAAGGGGCACACTTTGCCAAGGAAACAGGAGATAAATTTCATATTGATATTTATTCATATATTGATATTGATATTAAATATTGATTCTATTGTTTGCACTGCGTTCCACGTTCGTTGAGATGTATGAAGGATGCGTGTGCAGGAACATGTGTGCACGATTTGATAAATCTGAATATTTCTGTGTGCATGCAGTTTTCCCTGTACTCCAACATTCAGTATGAAAGCTGTGCACTCTACAGGTGCATCACAAAAACTGAAAATATCATGAAAAAGTTCATTTATTTGTCAACTATTTCAGAAAGTGAAAATCATTCATTATATAGATTCATGACACACAGAGTGAGATGGAGGACGATGACTCACTGTGGCAACCCCTGAAGAGGGAAAAGAAGACAGAGAAATGTTATCCAATCTTTATTTCTTGTCATTTCGATGATTTTGTCCCACAAATAATGTAAAAACAAACTTCAGTGTTTCAGAAAGTTTGAATATTAGAGCCAGCTTCGGGTACCTTTGTCCTTGTGGGCAGGAGACGAGTCCCGCTGGAAAATTAAATCAGCATCTCCACGAAGATCGTCAGCAGAAGGAAGCATGAAGTCTCTAAAACGTCCTGGTAGATGTTGCGTTAACTGGACTTCATGAAACTCTGGGGACCAACACCAGCAGAGGACATGGACCCAAACCATCACTGACTGTGGAAACTTCACTCTGGACTTCAACAACCTCCTTCTGGACCTCTCCACTCTTCCTCCAGACTCTGGAACATTGATTTCTTAATTAAATGAACATTTAATTTAATCTGAAAAGAGGACGTTGGACCACTGAGCAACAGTCCAGTTCTTTGTTTTCCTCAGCAGGTAAGACACTTATGTTGTCTCTGGTTCAGGAGTGGCTGGACTTGAGGAATGAGACATTTGTAGCTCATGTCCAGGAGTTAATCAGCTGATCAGGGTGAGACACCAGGAGTTTACAAAATTAACCTCTTCACTATATTCTAATTTTCTGAGACACTGAATTATTATTATTATTTTTTGTAAGTCATAATCATCAAAATGACAAGAAATAAAGGTTTGACATATGCCGATAGTTCAGTCTATGTGTAATGGTTCTATGTAAAATATGAGTTTCACTTTCTGAACTGAACGAGAAAACAAATTGATCTTTGCACAATATTCTATTTTTTAGAGATGCACTACTATGTTTTGGCATGATTTAAGTTTTTATACAAACTTAATTTATAAAAAAAATAAAAAAGACATTACTGTTACGTTCACACAAACCATATATTAGAATAAAAAAAAAGAGCATGCCTTAATCTTTAGTTTAACTCAACAACACTCAGACCAGATGACTCAATGCTTGTTTTATTTGTGAGATAGAAAACATTTGTTGAGCACGACAGTCACCATTTTCACAACTTACTGTGAGAAAACACTGAAAAAATACATTTGGAACAATGCTATATATTTCATCAAATGTTCCTACAGCTGTACGACGGCCCATCACCGTGCACGCTGCAGTAAAAGTCCACGGGAAGAGATTAAAAACTGTTGTGGTGCCTCAGAAGGTTGCAACGTCTCTGACCCGTCGGTCACAGCAAACATACTTTTCATCTTGTAGCAAAATACTCCAGACAAGTAAATCTGATTTGGCATGTGGTGGTGCATATAAACAATAACAAATACACTGAATATTGGCAATCGAAAGGTAATAAATACACTGTTACTGTCGTCACAACACGGTTAGTTTGATAACACTCACATGCAAGTCATCTCCCCTCGTCATACGCTTGCTGTACCTTCAGCTGCAGGGCTGATACAAGGTGCTGCGATAATTTAAAAAACAAGACAAACTAATATTCTGTCCCAACACGTTGTGTTGCGTGTCTCACAGTCATCCAGAGATCACCATGAGCCTCCACGTAAAGCAGGTTTCAGAAAACGGCATGCTGCCAACCACAACAGTTGAGTCAGCTAAAAGGAGAGCATTACTAAATGAAACCGTTTTTTTAATTATTATTTTAAAGAAGAGCTGAGAAGAATTAGATGATGATATTAAAACTGTATCTGGGACAAAATGTTTCAATAAAACATAAATAAATAAATAAATTAGATAATCAGGCTCCAGTCTGAAAGCTTCACTGTCAGCGACTCTTCGGATCACACCTTCAGGAGGTGGCATCTCAAAGTGCTGCTTCCTGTTCGGCACAATCTTTAGATTTCTCTCCTGGAGTTACAAAAGTACGGCAGCACGGTGGCGCAGTTGGTGGAGCCGCCGCCTCTCTGTGAGAAGGTTGCAGGTTCTAACCCCAGCCCGCGGCTTTTCTGGGTGGAATTTGCATGTTCTCTCCGTGCATGTGTGGGTTTTCTCCCGGTACTCCAGTTTCCTCCCACAGACCAGAAACATGCATGTTAGACTGATTGAACTCTAAATTGTCTCTAGGTGAGAGAGTGAATGGTTGTTTGTCTCTATGTGTCCCTGTGATGGACTGGAGACCTGTCCAGGGTGTCCCCTGCCTCCCACACAGTGACTGCTGTACATGGGCACCAGTGACCCCCCATGACCCAAAGAGGACGAAGCAGGTAAAGATGATGGATGGATGGAGTTACAAAAGTTTAGTTACTGCTCTCTCAGTTTAAAAAAGTTATTTGGGCTCATTATAAAAGCTCTCCATGCCTCCGGCCCTCCTGCTCTCCTTAAGGTTTACAGCGTGCCACAAAGTGCAAGTTGTGCTGGGAAGTCCACGGATTTTCAACGTACATCCAATTTTTGTGAGAATAATTTGATGCTATTGCCAGAACATCAGGAAGACTGTGAGATAATTACATGCTTTTCTAAAAAAAATGGACGCGTTTTACAGCTGAACGTGTTAAATAAATTATATAAAAAATAATATTTACAAAAGCTGTACAGAACAAAAGACAGAGCTTTTGTGTTGTAGACAAAATGTGACAACACCAACACCTACACAGTTACTAGTAACCTGCCTACGAGTAGTTTTGGTTGTAGTATCCAGTTCTCAAGTTCAATTCTTAATAAATGAAGATAAAAATGTTCAGATGTGCAAGTTTGGAAGTTTCATGTTTCCCAGTTTGTAGACGCATACGTCTGTCTGAACCTTCGACACCTTCGGTTCAGCCGTGCCTTCCATGAAAGACCAGAGGACGCACTTCCAGCTCTGTCTAGCAGGGCTCAGAGACAAACTGCAGCGGGGAGTCCGAGCCTCGTTAGCATGGACGCCCAACAGACACGCGCTCACCTGCCAGCTTCAAAAAGCCACATTGCAGGATGGCTCCACTGCGATGAAACAAACTCAGTAATCGCTCCTTTTCGTGCACGCCACCAGTTCAGTTATGTTTCTGCAGCAGAGATGTCCAGCCCGTCCTTTCCACAGGGACAGTCTCTGACGACAGCAGTGCTCATCACCCCACTGTCTCTGTGTCCATCGTGTCTTTCCTGGTTGTCCAGCGTCAGCTCGAAGTGAAATTTACTTTCAGGACCACCCTCACCGCCCCTACGTGGTCCTCCTTCCCCATCGCTGGTGTAGAAAGGAGAGGGGCTTTGGGGGATCATGCTTTGGTACCAGTTCCTGTTGTATTCAAGTGTATCCAGGATGTCCTGGGTATCAGGATGGACCAGGTCGGCCCACGCCTCCCACAGAGGGTGCACAACGTAATCTATAAAGCTAACCTAAAGAAGAACGATAAGGTTAATGTCAGTAAAAAGTTTATTTTTAGTCAGTTTTTATGAACTTTTCTATGTCTATGTTCTCTACCTGGGTTCTCTCTACTGAAGCCGTGTGCTTGTCACACATGGGGCTGATCTCCATCCCCCTCTCTCGCTCCCTGTCCCCCTGGTGGAAGAACTCATCCATGATCCTGTCTGTCCACTGCCGGTACAAGTCCAGAGGTTTGGTTGGGTTACTCAGGTCTGCGCAGTGAACCATGTTACACAGCACCTGCAACAAACCAGCGCTGGCTTTACTGTGGTGTCCATTAAAACATCATGTGAGGGCGAACAGAGCGGCTCTTACCTGCATCCTGTCCGAGTAACTGTCCAACATCAGGACGCCGGAGTTAGTCACCTTCTTAGTTTCCACCATGGTTTTCAAACTGGCCAGGAGGTTTATGTGTTTTGACATGTCCGTTGCCAAAACCTGAAAAGATGCAGAAAAATTAAATGAGACATAATTCTATAAAATAAAATGTTGTCCCGCAGAGACACACCCAGGGATGTTTCCTCACCATGTCCATGACCATCCTCCGCAGCGTCTGCTTCTGCTTCTTGCTCAGGTTCTGGAAGATGTCGCAGTTGTCTTTCTGCAGCAGCTTGAAGCCCATGGCCAGGTGGTGGTTCTCCAGCACTGACTCATCGTTGTACATCAGCGCCAGCTCCGAGTCTAAACACAAATGATGGTGGGGAGGGAAGTGACAGCAGAAATTAAACAGTGCTAAAGAGGCTACAAAAAATAAATAGCTCTGGTAACTATGGTAAAATTTCCACATCCCTTAAAAAAAAAAAAACACATTTAGAGACTGACGACCAGGCAGAAACTGGTTTTCTGCTTTGAAAGAACCTTTGACGGTGTTTGTGAAGACGTACTTGTGTTGATGAGGAACTGGTTAGTCACTCCTGGGTGGTCCACGTCATGAATAGCTGCGGCAAAAATGGCTGCTAGGATCTCCAGATCAGTGAAGACAGACTGTGAGAGGAAAAGTGAAAAGAAATTCAACTGCAGTTACCAAACGCTCAAAGGTCAGCTATTAGAGAACAAGCTGAGGCTGTTCCTCCGTGGCTTTTATTGAGAGCTCCTGTCAGTTTATTAGATGAAAACAGCTCAAGAAAAGAGTCTGTGATGGTGTAAATTACACGATATAGAACTAACTGTAGCGACTTACATCCAAAGCGGGCGTGGACAGCAGGATGTGTGCAGACTGGGCCACATCGGCAGCGTGCAGACTGTTGTGGTAGGCCACGTTGGAGTGGTAGTGGTCCTCCAGGGTCAGCATGAACGTCACAAATGTGTCGGCTGGGATCTTGAATGTCCTCATCAGATCTCGCTCCTGAGTCCGACACAAACGGAAATAATTAGAAAAATCGGACGATGCTGAAGCACTGGCGCCATGTTTCTGCATCTCTTCCAAACCAAATAGACAAAATGTTTTTATTTCCCTGTAAATCACGAAAAAGGGCTAACACATGCAGCCTTCTGTATGATATAAGCAGCTGGCTGGGAAGCGTGCTAACATGTTAGGACTTATGAACCCTACAAGAGGACGAAGAAGTGACGACTCACCTGGAAAATGGTGTACATGATGCACGTGAGCGGCCGGTTGTGAGAGTGCTCTGCCACCTGGAAGATGTTCAGGCCCCATTTGTTGATGTCCTCGAGATCCTGTCAGACGGGACAGACACGGTTGAACCAGCACTAAAGGCAGACAGTGCCAGCAGAACAACCAGTTTCTGTGTGTCTTACTTTGCAAAGCAGTTCCTCCTGGTCTGTGTTGACCCCGCAGCAGTTCCCACAGCTTCCGGAGATGTTGGAAGTGTTGGTGACCTTTTTAACCCCGCTGACCTGCGTCGTCGTCCCAACCTGCTGCTGCTGCTGTTGTTGCAGCTTGCCCTGCCTCTTCTTCCTGTCTTTGGACTTCTGAACCGGGCAGGGGAGCTCCAGTTCATTTGGCTTGTCTGTAGAAAGACAAATTAAACACAAAAAGAAAGAATTATTAAAAGACAAAAGGAGTGGATGAGCTTTCTTTCATCACCACACTGTGTAAACACAATCAGACTGAGCTGACGAGTGTTTAATTAGGAACAATCCTTCATATTCTGTCTCCACTGAAACCACCGCTCCCAGCAGAAAATAAAACTGCGTTAAAAACATTTGATGACGATGATACTGTGAAGGGTCGAGAACTGCTAACGAGATGTTCTGTTTGACGATATTGCAGCAGCGCGAGCTTTCTGTGAAGCTCGACCTTGTTGCAGCAACAATTCACAGAAACGTGGAAAGGTTGTGCATACCAAACCAAAACTTTGGAGGGGGCCGAGGGACGTTACACAAGCTGAAAGCTGCTGTGTGTGTGTTTTAACTGTTATCATCGGATGTGCTGCAGCGAGACACAACAAAATGAAACCCTGCTGCATCCTCCACCAATAAAAAGAAGAATGAGCTCCCTCCACCTGACATGTGAGATGCAGATAACACAAGCTTCAGTTTTCCTGCTGCGTCACTTCTGTTGTTATGAAATATGAATATATCCTCCCAGTGCTTCCCTCCTCGAATTTCTCCACTTTTCTGTGTATTTCCTTCAGATGTTTCTCCTTCAGGAAGTTGGCTGTGTTCATAAACAACATCTTAAATAGAGATATGGGAAGCTGGATGTGCTGAGTTGGACAGAAGGGTTGAAATTCCAAGAGGAGCAAAATGGCGGCTTGTAACAAAACGCTGAGAGGCTTTTAAAGGTGAGAAAACTCTCCTGTCTGCCTGTTGAATAATGCAGCGTCTCTCTGAACTTGATGGCACAGCACACACAGATGTAGTCATCCCTGTGCAGAAAGCCCTCCTTTCTCCACACATTTCTGTCATCAGAACCCCCCACCCCCTGCTTTCCCTCCTGACCAGCTCAGACTGGCTTCAGAGCAGAACTCCAAATTTAGGAGGCGTTTGGCACAAGTAAACGTCCAACTTCCTCCCTGAGCAGACCGTTATCCCTGAGGGACGCCGACACCGCAGTGGGATCAGTTTGTGGGAACGTGGGCTGCAGTGCTTACCTAAGAAGGTGGAGGAGATGTACTCAGACACTTGGTTGCCAGAGCGACTCATCTCAGACAAGTGGCTCAGCTCCCGATTCAGCATCCTTTTGAACTGAAAGCAGAGATAAAACATGGATTAAAAAAAAAAAAAAAATATATATATATATATATATATATACAACAATAAATAATAGTTACTGCTTTTCAGAGTAGACACATAACACATTGTCAGACAGCATGTTTTTATACACGTGCATTTATGTGTTTTGGGACATTTTCTGTGACGAGCAGCATATAAAAACACTTTCTTTCTTTATGTGTTGACTAATCCTCATGCTCCGAGGCATACAAAATGTTGCAGTCTCCCAAACAGACGCAGCAAGTAAGCATCATGCCCAAATCAAGTTAGACACAACTGAAATATGACAAAATCAAACTAAGACATCTCAGACATGTGCAGCCACTAAAAGACACGGTCCTATTAATGATGCAACACACCTTAATGTATCCCCAGGACAAAGAGAACAGGTAGTTGGCCTCAGGCATGGTGCTAAGCTGTTCAGAGCCCCTGGTGCTCCCCAGCAGAAGCAGTAATGCTCCTCTCTGAGTGGACCCCCAAGGCTAAGCTCAGCCGTGCACCCTGAAGCTCAAGCTGCTGCCAAATCTCAGACTTCCTGATGCTCGACTGCGACGAAAACCTCACAGCTGCCGTCTCCGAAGAAGGGCTGCGACGAGCCCCTACATCCCCGGAAAAATGTGCCTCCTCCCAGCCTCCTCCATCATTTGAGGAGCACAAGCCAATGAATGACAAGAGTGATGGAATCCCCCGCAAGATGCAATCAACATTCCCTTCTCCGCTTTCCCTCCTGGTCCTCCTGGCTCTGTCTATCTGCCCAGACCTCCATCTTCTGCTGACAGCATCCAGATGTTATTTAGTGGGATGCAGCTGTGGGTGTGGGTTGGTGGCCTTTCCGAGGCTACACGGAACAAGACGGTCTCGACAGAGGAAGAAAAGGAAGATAGGCATAGAAGAGATGAGGAGGAAGAGGAGAAGAAGGAGTGTGTGTTCAGGCTTAAGTGCTGTCTTTGCCTCCCACCCAGCTGAACACAGAGCGATGCACAGCACTGCAGAGCAGGAGAGCAAGGAGGAATCCCTACACCTTCCTCTCTCTCTCTCTTTCCAGCCATTTCTCTCTCTCTCCCCTCCTCACCCCCTCGCTCAATAATGCAGAACAGATGCAATGCATTCTGCGCAACGTGAGGCTTCAAAGCACCAAAGTGCTCATTGCAGAAGATGAATAAGGCAAAAGGGGAAAATATCTGAATGTATTCATTTAATTGGTCTCAAACCAGCAGCATGTTTGTGTTGTCAGCTCCTCACGTTCAAGAGAACGTGTTCAGAGGGATGATAACTCCAGACACATCTTTAGGAGGGGTTTAGATCTAAAGCCCACCATCCGCATGGCTTCCTGAATGCCATAGCAACAGAGTCACATGACCCCCCCCAATCATTCCCAAGGTGGTCCCCCTCTAAACACAGATCATCATGACATATTTAGAGACGCAGAGGGGCTCGATGTGGACTGGAATATATATTTAACAATGACAAGAGGGCCCAAAACACAATGTAAGTGTTAATAAACTAAAAAATGATCACATCCTAAACTTTATAATAAATACTGAATCAAAGCTTTGTAATCATTATATGGTTCAAGGTTCTTTATTGTCATTCGCATCACATGTGGTACATGAGGTGGAACGAAACTGTGTATTCAAGGTTACAGTTACATCCAAAAATAGCAAAAATATAAAGTATAAAAAGGAACAGCATACAAGGATCTAAAATATACGCTAAACTCTAATAATGTTAAATAATGTGGTGCGCAGTAGTCCCTCGCCACTTCGCGGTTCGTTTATTGCGGACTCGCTCTATTGTGGTTTTTCGAAATAAGATTGGACATGACGCACAATTGATTGATTGATGGATGAACCGCATGATCGACATAAAGTTTTTATTTAAAATAAATTATTTTAAATTATTTAGCACCTGCTGCACCTTTGTGCAACCAACACTGCAGGATAAACTTCCTGCTGCAGCTGATCAGCTGTTCACCATGCAGAGTGGAGAAGTGGGCGTGGCCAAGAGCACTTGCGGCTGGCAAAGAGCAGAGGAGGCAGAGAGCTGAAATCATGTCATGCTGTGCTCTGTTAGAGCGTTTAGAGTTTAGAAACATTGTTTAGAATATTGCAAGAGTGTGGGAAGAGTTTAAAACACCTTTATATAAATAATAATCCACAATCCGATGAAGGCTGTCTAAATCAACAGGCACCTATTAGCTAAAACGTGCTGAATGATTCAGCTTCCTTCAGTACAAAGGAAACTTGTCACTGACTGTGTGATAAGGTGACTGAACGATGCTAACCGTAAGAAATGGATGAAACACAGATGAATGCTGATAATCTGGGGTCATGTAGTTCAGCTGCAACTCTCACGACATGAACATGTCTATAAGAGCATGTTGCCTAATAAACCCGTACATTATGTCAGCAACAAGTATATACATACAACTAGAATAGATAAATAATTTGGATGACTAAGAAAAGATGCAGGAAAGACACAAAAAGAACGTGATTCAAATGTGGATCAACCTGCCTTTGACCATCAGACTCTTCCCCCTCTGCTAAAACCATCACTTCTCCTCGGCTTTTGACACCATCTGAGGTGTTGATTTTTAGTAAAATATTAGTTTATTTTAATTGATTTTCTGTTTTGATTTGGTTTTTGAAGTTGTTTTATGTATTCTGACTGCTGTTGGGTTTTATTGACTGTAACCGTTCAGCACTTGGTCCTCTGGTTGTTTTATAAGTGATGATTTGGAAATAAAGGTTTAACTTGTGGTCTGTTCTCAGAAAACTACGAGCTTGTGCCACCCAGTCTAAAAACTAATTTTAATATTAAAAACAAGTTCATAATGAAACAGCTGTCAACCATAACAACACAAAACCTTTAAGAAACATTGCATACATAATTAAAACTTCAATGAATAAAGTCAGAGGAAGTTATCTAATTGATAACCAGACAGAAGAGGCAGTTCTGACTGTAATTACTGAGACTTACTGATACTGATTTTAACATAAAATATATGATCAAAGATCAAAAGCATTCATTAATTCTTTAAACTCTTCATGGGGCAGACCAGTGTTAAGCTGCTGCTACTAACTCACCTTTTTCCAACTTGTAAGAATCTCAAAGTTTTTCTTCTGCTTCTCAGAGCAACATAGTCCCATTGTCACTTGGCAAAACCCAAACCCAGCACAAAAATTAAATTAAATTAAATCCTGCAGAGGTCCCAGCAGTGGGCGTTCTGTCTGCCTGAGATTCGGTTCTGATGTGGTGTCAGGCAGGAACTGTACAGCCGCCTGGCCTGCAGTCTAACCAGAGGCTCCGAGCTCCTCCCTCTGACACAGGCCTGAGCATGTGCACCCACCTCCTTCCTCTTTACTTAAAAGAGTTATTCACAGAAGTCATTTGCATCCTGTTTCCTGGCATCGCCTCGGGCGGGCAACCAACTGACATACCTGAGCTCACAGCAGAAAAGTCCCAGAGAACAAGTTGAGCAGAAAGCCAGGCTGTGCTGGGAATCACACATGAAGCAGTCTCTTGAGGAAAAAAAAAAATCTTAATGTTAAATGAAATATTAGACACATAAAAATGGAATTGCATAGGAAGGTTATTGCAACACCACAGCTGCACGATAAAAGCCCAAAGTGAGCCAACGCGGTCCGTGTGGAGCTGTTTACAGCGTCAACACTCGCTGAACGATGGCCAGCAAGTTTTCACAGTTTAGCAACAGTAAAAAGACACAGTTCCTAGAAGGTGTTGATCACAGCCCTTTCAGAATAAAGTAAGAAATGTGTTGTGTTAATTTTTTTTTTGCTTAGTTTCCATAAAAACAGTTATAGAGGTAAAGCGTTTCTTTTTTATTACACAATCACTGCTGTAGTTCGTCCGATCCCCTCACCCCCTAACAATCAATTAGAATTGCAGCACTATATAATTTTATGCTCTTTATGTCTATTTCAGCTACAGACCCACCACTACATCTGTTTCAATAATTGTGTCATCTTTTCCTTCCTAAGGATGGCGGGGCTTCAAAGGTAAAGTGGCCACTCGTGAGTTAAACTTTCCTACTTGCTTGTCTTTTGCTCGGAGGCCGGCTTGCACGCTAACCCGCAGAGAAGCAATCTCCTCTAACTGGATTCAGATGGTGGTGTTTGTCCAAGGCCGTCACCAGCAGCAAAGTGGAAGTGTGGCGTGGCTAATGATAGTGAGGGGCAGGGAAACAGACCTCCGCTTTTAGGTCACCGTGACCAGGCAGGCAGTTAGCAGGGTGTGTGGTCCCCCCAACCCACGGATACACCTGTGCCCTTGGACGCTGAAAACACAGACGACCTGCTTTAGATTATAGCTTCAAAGACGTCTAAAGAAAAGAGCTCTTTGTCAAAGCTCAAGGCGAACGCCAAACCGTGCAGAGTTTATGTTGCGAAAACATACAAAAATGCAGATTTTGACAACGGTATGACAAATCAACGAGCTGCTTCGTTCTGGTCTTTCATAATCGTTCAACAATAGAGAACTGATAAAACTAAAGTGTAGCGCCGCTGACCTCTGCACTTGCAAAAGCAGCTTTGGTCAACATTAGAACAGCAGGAAACCAGTGTCAGGGTCACCCATCATGCTTTGACAACATCCATCCTCATCCTCATCCTCCCTTTGACCCCATCCTTGAAAGAATGAACATTTTTACCTTGAGTGTTTATAATCGAATGCCGCCACACTGTCTGCACTGCCTGTGGAGAGGCTGACTAATATTTTGCCACTTATTGTCACTGGGTTGAGCTTTGAACGAGAGAAAAATACAAAAAAAAAGCACGTGCGTCAAAACAAAAGGAAGCAATTAGTTTAAAGTTGCTTCTTTGTTTAGACCACAGAAACCTCGGCTTATTTATTTAGATTCAGTTAAATCAGGTATTGCATTTGTTTTTTAATAACGTGTTGGATTTATTTATCTGCTATTAGTTATTTTATTGTTTTTGTACTACTAGTGCTTAGTGTATTTTTAGTTAACATATTTCTTAGTTCTAAAAAAGTTCAATCTGGTCCTCTGGACATTCAAAAAACAAAACAAAGCAAAACAAGAAAAAAACGTAGAAACTTTTCGTCTTTCATCCGAGAGACTTCCTCAGTCTGAGGTGCTGTATTCAGCTCAGTCTCTTAAATAGCACCTTCTCAGAGTGGATCTACCAGTTTGCTGCTGACAACCAAAACCAGCTGATCACATGATCAAGAAGGACCATCAGCCTAACAATGGATCATTAGCACACTGATGGCTGTTTACTATTCACAGAGGGCTGAGTGATACTAGCAATCACAGCATTGTAAGAGGGGGACAGTTGAACCCGGAGGCCTCCACCCCTGTTTAATGATGGACAATTTCTTTTCACAAAGATGGCCTCCTTTACTCCTCTCTCAAACCATCATTCCTCTCTGTCCAGGATGTGAACATCTTCATCCCTGA